CATCTCGTAAAATTTTTATTTTAATTATTTAGTTAATTTCTCATTGAGTTTTCCGAGTAAAAGTTGTACCTCTTTCACCAAAATAAGGATAGCGAATAATTAGGTTCGCTTAAGTTAAAATACTATAAACAGTAAACATGCAATCCTCCTTTAGCTTTAGCCTTTAGGTTATGGATGAAATCAATTAACAACTTGTAAAAAAAGAAGTCGGCATCAGACATTAAGAAGGATGAAAAAGCAGTAAGTCCTTTCAAACCCAAAAAAATAGAATTAAAAGGAAAAAAATGATCATAGTGATTGATTCCACCTCGATACTTAGATAACAATGAAATTTCGTGAAATATTTAAAAGTATTATTTATGATGGGTGAAATGAGATTCAGAAAAGACAGCTTCTCATGAAAACCCCATCAATTTCAATAATTGTTTGTCCCTAAGTAAGATTAGTCATTTGTCATGCTTTTCTTTCCATAATTTAAATAATTATTATTACCATTATTATGATTGTCATCATATGCATGTTCTACCGTCCTATTTCATTTGACATCATAATTGACAACTTGAACTCGATCAATTTAGCGTGATCGAATTTAGAGTTGTAAAAATATATCGAGCTCTTCAAATTTGACATGAATAGTATAAGACGTGATATCTTATTTTGTTTTTGAAATATATTCTTACGCTTATTCAAAAAGTAAACCAATTTCAACAAATTTAAAAGTGAATTCATGGACTTGGCATTGTCATGGATGAAACATCCAAATTCGTATACAAAATAATTACAATATGTTTAGAACTCACATCTCTCTCTCCCCTCTTTATGAATGATGCAGGCTTGTGTTTGTATAGTATATTATATATATGTAGAGAATGTGTATGGTTAAAATCATGATCAGATGCATGACTTGCACTTATATGAACCTGAGATGCTGGCAAAGAAATGGACAAAAACCCAGTCTTGTAATCATACAAGTTTCTAGATTAGTGTGTGGTTCTATACAATGTATCCAAGGAATTAATAAAAGAAAAACTAAAGTTGCTTATTTTTTGATCAAGTTGGATGATGGGGCTAGCTAGCACAAAACTATGATAAAACCAACATTGTATCCCCAATCTTTAGTTTCATGATTTAAGGAAATTGTATTATTAATTTTAGTTAGTAATGATTAGGGTTTTTGACTAAAGGTAACTTAGATTCTAAGTCATCTTTTTCCCTACTTGTCAGGCCAAAACATGCATATTCATAATTGCCACCATTCTTGCACTTATCATTACAGTCAGGGAAGAGACCAAAGAAAAGTCCAAGGAGTTAAACCTGAAAAGGTCATCAACACATCATAGACAAACTGTGTGTATACATATCTTTGTACACCCAAGTTATTTTCAATTTAAAAGGTCAAGGGGCTATTCTCTTTGATATTTTCAGGCCGTTTTTTTGTTTTCGATTTTCTAAAATGGTGAAAATGCGTTCTCTTTCTCATTTTCGAAAATAAAATTTTTTTTTGTGAAGAAAACACAAAACGATCAAAATTTCATTTTAGGTGTTTTCTATACAAAACACATAAAAATGAAAAACGCGGAAAACAGCCTTTTTCATTTCTTCTTCACAGTGTGTGAGAGAACCATGAAAGAACAGTCATTTCTCCACCACTTTTCCCTCAAGAATCGACCACTGCACCTCTTCTTCCTCAACAATCGACTACCATCGCTGCTTCTTCCTCAACAATCGAACCCCCTCACACCGCCACTACCAGTCACGATTTTGGGCATAAATTCATCAAGGTGCGCCCATAAATTCATCAAGTTCTGGGCAAAATAGGGGTTGACCCATAGCTGGACTAGGTGCACCAAGTGAAGAGGAGTTCAACGCACATGGTCCGCAACCATGGGTCCACCGGATGGCGCCGAAATCTGAAAATTCGGATTCTACAAATTGGGCTTCGCGACGGCCAATATGTTTGGGTTTAATTAGATTGTTGGATTGTTGTTTGTGGTAAATTGGAGCCATGGTTGAGGTCAGTTTGTGGTGGGCAATCGACCGGTGGTGTGCTCCGATCAATTTGGTGGCCGGAGGTGGAGTTTCTGGCAATTTTTAGATTTCTGGGTAGGCTACTTTGTGGATGGATTCCGAGCAAATTCAGTGGAGTTATGGGAAGATGCTGGTTGATAATTGAAGAAGAGGTTAAAGGCGTTTCGATGGTACCAATATCTGGTGGTCTTGGTGGCCGACGTCGTTGGAAATTTGATACATGATGGTGACGGGTGAAGGGTGGATTTGGTTGTGGAAATGGGAATTGAAACAGGCTTGGGATTTGGAAGGATAGTGAACCATTTTTCGAGTTTTATGTTTTGGGAAATATTTTTTCAAAATGATAAAAAGAACATGTTTTCAACAATTTCAATAATAACACTCAAAACACAAAACTCAAAACTCAAACACAAAGACAGAGACAAAGACAACAGCCCCTAAATCTTTAGCCTTAAGAAGCACAACAGTTTTAGGACTCCTTGCATAAGAAAGTTCCAAAATATTTAAATTACACTAAATGAACTAAAAAGAAGTTAAAATCTTATTCATTATGATGCCTAGTACCATTCAATACTACTTACCTAAAATTTACTTCTTATTCATTATGATGCCTAGTACCATTCAATACTACTTACCTAAAATTTACTTCATGTCATGCACACAATCGATTTAGATCCAAGTCCATGGGCACATCCCTCGGATGTCCGCAGCAGAACTTCAAAGAGTTCACCTTCACGATAATTTTTCCTATTAGAAGGAGGTTTGCGGAGGTAAGGTTCATAACATTCCATTAAGTGAACGTTTGTCCACAGGGAATGCCCCTCTCTAACAAAGGTGTATACCAGAGTCCCAGAGGAAAAGAATGCATTGCAAAATGAAGTTGACGAAATATCAAGCCTGGAAGCTACCAAAGAATAGATTTTCATGCAAAACGTAACGAGAAAACAGAGACATTTTCTGATGCTGATCTAAATCAAGTTTCCATGTATAAACAAGATGTTGTCCGGCAAGCATCAATTATGGGAGGTCGGTACCGAAACTTCCGATAAAAAATAAGACATTGAGTTAGTTACATATACATTTTGGTGGTTGGGGTGGAGGCAACTAAAGAAAAACATCAAACAGATCAAAGACAAATGCAACTCTAGAAAGAGCACCTCTTGCATAAAACAGCAATTCAGTTTGGCTTAGTGTCATATACACGGTTTAAAGGAAACGATCCTCATTATATAACAAAGACCTCCGAAGGATATTGTCCGTCATCGTGTTTGTTCAATATTCTCGTGAATCTAAACCAGTTGGTGAAGCTTACATACGGGCAATAAAAACTAGTGCACAAAAACTACATTCAACTTTTCAGATATTTAGATTCAAAAAATTCAGCCATAATAGCACTGATGCATGTAATTCACATTGAAGCGCTTTATTAGTCAAGCCATTTATTTCAAATGAAATACTTCCAAATGTACAAAATACCCTATCAATAGATTCAATACTCATGCCATAACCTGAAATTTTCTCGTATCCTACAGTTAAAGCCTCAAACAACGAACGAACAATATCAAACATGATTTAGAGATAAAAAATTGCTAGTGCTCTTAATGAGCCATCCTCATGACCGAATGTAAACTCAAGCAAACTCAACTAAGCATCACCAATAGAAGATAAATTGTATTTGGTGGAGTGGGTGCATTCTCAAGAAGGAAAATGAAAGAGTCTAGAGTGGTTAATGAAGAAAATATTGGAGAATCAAAAGTTGCTCTAGTTTACATTTAACAAAAAGTTGCTTAATTAAGCAGCAAATCAAGTTTGGAGAATTTGGATAGAATCAGCACAACTATATAGCTCACCCAGCTTTATATATCACGCTTAGGAAGCCGTGGCAGGCAAAAGAGGCAAGCAGGATAACATATTTTGTGCAAGAAAAAAAATACTTGACAAGTTTAATGAAGTTAGCACTTCGCAGTTAGAACGCTCAAGACCAAGATAAATTTGGAGCGACAAAAGCAATTTAATATATTCACCTGCAGAAGCCAATTACATGCTTATCTTGTGTGGAGTAATTCTGTGGTGCGTCTAGCATACAACTCACAGAAGAAAAGGAGGAGGACTTATGTGAACAGAGCAAAAACATATAATATTTGCATATCACCTTATCTTGATTACAAATTTTAGTTAGAAAAAGAAATTAATGTTATGAACGGCGTCAAAAGAATAATTAAGTTGTCAATATCAATGGATTTATATAGTATTGAATGAAGCATGAAGGGATGAGACACTGTTGGTCAAGAAATTAGTGTGACTTGTGACGTACAACAATTATTAGGAAATAATCGAGTTCGACCCTTAGCTATGAGTACCATAGATGGTATGATGAGAGGAATGGAAGTGATTGACACGGGAACTCCCAAGTGTTTCGGTCGGTGGAGCGACTATGGGACAAATTTTCAACGTGCTTTGAGAGCCTGTTAATAATTTAGGTCATGTAGATACATGTACAAAAATATGCTAATTGACATAACATTTAAAGTTTTTGATTTGAGAACACCTTTCCTAATGATTTTATTCAGCTAACCTGAATGACAGACCAGGAACCATTCTTATAAACAGAATCCAAGGTTCAAGAAAATTTTGTAAACAGTAATACTAGGAAAACATAAATGCATGCAGCCATACTGTTCCACTATGTTAAAACAGCCACATACACGTGTACACACGAAAAAACACGTTCAAAATAAGCTTAACCAAAGTCAAGTAGCATGGTTACTATTCATTTATTAAACATTGCAATGCTTCTATGCCAATTTAATTACATATATCACATGATTTTTCAAGGATCATCGACGGTATTGGCCGCATGTACAGATGTAGTTAAATTTTGCATGGTTATTTAGAAATGCAACTAATATAGTGGTCTTGGTTGTTTCACCGTATATTTGAATTCTCACATAAAATTGAAACCAAAGACCACATAGGAAAACAAGATTTTATACTATAAACTCTAAGCAGCAAAATTTCGAAGGTTCTGTCATACCTTATGGAAATTTCCAGCTATAGGAAACATGCATTTCAATTGGAACAAACAACAAATACAAGGTATTTGATCCATATGGTGCTCAGAAATATTAATATTTGAATGTAATATGAAATCTGACTGCAAATACCAAGATGCAAATCAGTTTAGTCTCCTCCTAGATGCACGTGATTCACCACTATCTATATCCGAAATTCTTGAAGCGTCATTTCTTCTCCTGGAAGACGAAGTAGAAAGGGACACTCTGGAGTCAATTTCAATGACATTATCTACTGTCTGACTCTCAGAGTGTATAGCAGCAGCAATGCTTGACATAGAATCCCTATCATCAACTGGTGGGGGCAATTCCTGATTTCTTTCTACAGAACTGTTACGGAAATAGGATTCAACTGCCCTTTCAGTAGCTAGTCTTTCAGGCGAGCTCAATGCAAATGTAAGGTTAGATAATGAAGCAGCTCGATGTGTATTTGATCTACGAAGTAAACGTGACGAACGTCGACTGTTTTCCCTTGCCTCATAGTTCCTTGGACTGCTTTCTGTCAAGTCAATCACATCATCAGACAGCATTTGTGGACTCTGTTCTCTACGCATTCCTCTAGAAGTCAGAATTCTGTTGAGCAAGGAGTTACTTCTCTCGGGTGATTCACGAGGACCATCAGAGTTTTGAGACTGAACCTGAACCAACTCTCGACTCAAATCAAATGTATTACTAAGACGACGGAACATTTCCTCCATTGGAATAGTAAATGCAGCCCTTTGAATAGTCTGCCTCCAGCTCTCAACCCGCCGGGCTTGGGGCCTAAGAGGAATCTTCAGACTAGAGTCCTGATCTGGCTCCCCTGTATTGTTACCCCGACCATAAATTGGGGTCACATTTTTTGTCGTCACCTCTCCTTTACAAACAGGACATTCCTTTGCATCAGAGTGAACATGTAACCACCTGTAAAGACAAGGCCAGCAAAACAAGTGACCGCAGCAAGTCAACACAGGGTCCTTTGCCAAGTCCAAGCATATATTGCAATCGAAAAAGCTACCTACATCACCATTATTCTTTTGGCCATCTTCTTTCTTTTTACGAGCCTCGTCTTCCAAATAACAATTGCCATTATCACATGTTTTGGTTACCTCAACAGGCCTTTCCTCTGTAGTAATGCTACCCTCACCAGTCTGTAATTCATCCCCACCAATCAATTCTAATGCAAGGTTTCTAGTTTCAGGAGGAATTGGAACTTGCCTCCATAATGAACGCCATCGATGACCCCTCTGCCTCTGCCTAAAAGCTTCTGTGAACCTATGAACAGGACCATCTAACAAATCCTCCAAGTTCATATCCATGTTAGAATAAGATCCTGAGCCAGTGTCACCATTTTCACCTGAAGCATCAACAGGTCCCAAATTGAGATCAAGATTCATTGCGGGGTTTTCATCTGCCATTGGAAATTCACGAAGTCCTCAAAATCAAACACGGCAATTTCTTTTCAGCTCAACCAAAAATTTACAAACCCAACTGTCCAATTCGTGCTCAACAAAAGAAAGCTCCTATGTCTCCTTAACCAAATGCGTTAAAACCCAATTTTTACCTTTGTAGAAAGTGAAAATTCATGTATAATGCAGAATTGAATCAAAACCCTAATTTTAATCGGTCAAGAAATCCAAAACCCACTCTTCCTTCTGGTAAAATGAATTCAAAATTAGCTTAATCTGGCTAGAAAAATCAAAACCCTGGACAGCCTTCACACTCGAGTGAATAAAAATCCAAAATTCATCTGGAAAAACAAATTAACACACAAATCATTTCTGGTCAACTGAAGAGGTACCAAAAATGAAAATAAGAAAAAACCCTTTCAGGTGAATAATCCAACTACATTAAAACCCATAACTCTGACTCTGAGAAAGTTAAAAAATTGTGTATAAGGTTAATCAGATCGTAACAAAAACTCATTACAATAATCTAAAACACAAAATCATAACCAACAACTCTCCACAATCAGAACAAGACCCGACTAGGGTTCCACTTCTAATTAGCCCAAAGCGAAAAAGACTCAAACTTTACACCATGTTCACAGCAGATAAATTCAGAATGACACAGAGAGAGAATGAGAGAGAGATAGAGAGAGACCTTAAGAAAATAGATTAATCTTTTAAGAATTGAATGGAAAATTGAGGCGCACAGCTGTGAATATGAGTGCGGGAATTATTTTCATCGTTTCTTTTCACTGAAAACCGAAAAGCGGTCTGCGATTCTTTGTGGTTTGTGAAATGACAAATGAGAAACGTGTGTGTGTGTGAGAGAGAGAGAGAGTCTGCAAGTAATTTTGACACAGCTCGATCATAGAAGTGCCACATCAGCACAAAATTTAGATGTGGACCTACCTACTGGTCCTAATTTTGAATGAATTGATTTGTATGTAGTTGCTAGTTCAAGATGAATTTGATGGCATGATTCTGAGTTTGGTAAGTTTATTTGAGCCCATGTCTGGCCAAGCATAACTTACTATTCACTTATCAAGTAAGTCATTTCATTCGATGAATACAGCTCATCAGCGACCTCTCTACCCTATCCGCTTGACCATGTACCATCAATAACTTATAATCACTAAAATAATAATTTCAGCACTTCCAAACATGCACAATTGGATTAAGAAATTGAAATACATACATGATAAAATGGAAACTTGAATTTGACAAAATGTGAATTGAATTATTTACAAATTAATGGAGCTAAAGTTACATGATTATGCATTTTTTTGTTCCATAATTGAGGTCTAGTCCAAGGCGACAAACGACGCTCTCAATCGAAGATCGTAAGATGACAATTTTTTTAAATATATTTCCAATGTTAACACAACTGCAAGTCATCGAGGTTCTTACTATGGATCTCTCATTTAATGGTATACGTTAGATGACAATGAAATGATATCAATTGTCACACATTAATCTTTAGACACCATACGGTGGAAAGCATGCTATTATTTATTAATGAGGGTCCTTCAAGGAGAAATAAAAATCAACAACACCCTGGAAAACAGCTTAGAGAATAGGCAGCATGACAGGGGTAGATATTTAGGAAAAAGCCACTTTGCCCGAATTTTGGTGACAGCTTGGTTAACTGACCCTTACATTGTGCGTGGGTCTCGTGTGAATTAAAAAATGCAGACCTTCCCATGTGTGTGTGTGTTTGGTCATCATTTATGTCAACCTTTATGTTCGTGTACCTCGATTTAGAGATTTATCCTTTCTTATGAGAACAATAATAAACAAAATGAAAATAAAGAAATAAGCTAATCAAACGCAAAACTATAGTGGTTTACCCATAATGCGAGGCTTACAACCACTTAAAACTGAACACTTTGTATAGTGTGAACATTAGACAACCTTAGTCAAGGGGACAAATGTATAGGATGATCATGGTTATCCTCGAAAGCCATTTGGAAAAGGAGTATAAAAGGACTGTTGAATTTGGGACTGAGCACTTCTGGATTTGATCGTTTGAGGTTATTTGTTCTGTATATGGCTCTTTTCACAGTTCATATGTGCACCAAATTCACATCCGTTATGACCAGTAATGATATGATGATGATCAATAGACTTTTGTCGATGAAGGCATGAATGCGCAAACAACTGCCTGCCTGTTAACGATTTATTTACTGTGATCAGATCTTAGCTCTGTTGGATATTGGTTAAATAAATCGGGAATTGAAAATCGATTAAAGTGACTTCGTATCAACTTCGGGCAAATACTCAAAAGCTCGATTCAATCCGTTTAGGCAAAATTGTTTGCCACTTCGCCGCTTCGGGGCGCACAAACGGGGATCGACCTGCCCGGTCAGGTCGCGGGGGTCGAGAGGGCAGCGCCCCCCGTGGGGGCTCAGGGGCAATGCCCCCGAAAGAGAATTTTGATTTCTCTGCATGTATTGAAGGGTATATTTGGCATTTCGAAAACCAATATCGGATGAATGAGAAATTACGAAAAAAGGACGAAAATCAGTGAATAGACACCTTTTCATAAAGGTGCATTGTTTGGAAAGGGCGCATGGTTTGGCCTCAACCATTTCGTCCACACCCTTTCATGGTCTATAAATAGGACCCTTTGGGTGTCCTATTCCTCACAATTTTGATATGCAAAACATCTCTCATCCTCTCTTCTATCCAAAATCAAAATCATTTCATTTATTTTGATTTTCCTTCATTTCATCCTTGGAGTACATAAGCCTAAATTTGGTTCGTTGTACTTGTGTTTTGGAGTGGTACAAACACAATTGTAGCCGTTGTATCTTGGAAGTCGATTACCGAAATCCGTAGGCACCGTTGCGGGGCAAATTCGACTTAAGGACAAAGAGTCCAACTCTTGCCTCGACTTTGTCCCTACTTACAAACCATCATTATACTTATTTTGGCGTCACTATTCACAAAATTCCTCCAACAAGCTCTACTGTTGGGAAGGAGTCAGATGCACTATAGATAACCTTATTTGGCACTACGAACCTAACGGGCTGTACTTCGTGAGAATTGGATAAGTAGGACAAAAATATAAGCAATGTGGGGCGGAATATTCCTCTAGATAGGTTTTGTAGCCCCCTTGGTGCTGCCGTAGAAGCCGCTGAATGTGCCAGAATTAGCTGCTGTTCTGGTATGGGAGACGGGATGGATGGTGATGCTCGTGATGTGCTGAATGCAAGCGTATTTGGGGGGATTGTAACTGGGTACTTGATGGAGCCAAGGGATGCGACCCATTGGTCATAGCATTTTCTATGCCATTGTGCTGTCCAGGGAGGTTGTGTTGTGGACTAAAATTAAACACTGGCGTTGCAGTGGTGGTTGTATCAATTCTAGAGCAGTAATTCGGATGAATTTGTGGTCGTCGTGGTCGTAGTTCAGGGTGGAGGCAATTGCATTGCGAGACTGGATCATTCTTGCAAAAGATCTTGGTTTTTGGATGTAAATTGTGACTCTTGTTGCTTCATTTCCCATGGCGCTATCTTTTCGGTTGATTAGGATAGTGTAGGAAATCGCAGCATACCGTGACATGAATTTCGGGTCAAGAAACTTACTTGAAATAATAAATTTCAAAAAAAAAATTTGTGGTCGAATTACCTTGCTATCCTAGCATCAAAATCCACATTTTCTTGTTCTTCAATGGTCCTAATCCCGATCAAAATAGAAGAGGATTATTGTCCAAAATCTAAATGCCATTTTTTGTGAGATTTCATGTCAAAAATATGGTTCTAGAGACTTTTCAATTTTGATGTCAATTTCCATACGAATTTTCACCATTTTTTTATGCCATTCTTTTGTCCTCTTTTTTCGTAACTCCTATATGGAGGTTGCAAGTAGTTATATAGAAAGTTGGAGAAGTTATGGATTTAAATTCCATTCAAAACATTCCCTCCTAATCCTTTTCAAATCTTGCGGGTCAGGTCACCTCACATGGGCGACCCATTACGCGTATTTTCCAATAGATAGACATAGGTGGATTGCTTGTGTCCAATGATTAGCAACGATATAAATTAATAGTCATTTTGACCCTGATAGAAAGATATCAATCTTCCCAACAGAAGGAAACAAAATAATACAAAGAATTGAAATTAGCATAGAATCTATGCCAGATCATAGATTAATGTCTGCCGATGATAAATTAAACTTTGGTAATTAGAAACTAACTTATTTCAGTCTTTTTTGTTCGCATTTTGAGTAACTGATAGTAAAACCGACATGATGTAGTAATCAGTAGGCAGTAGGGAGCCACAATTTATTTATTTATTTCTTTTAAGCCCTTAAAAGTTGACTCATTAAAACCCAAGACCAACATGAACTCTTTCACACGGTAGCATGACAAATCATTTAGAGACCATCAGATGCAGGCTGGACTTGGGTGCATCGTACACCCTCAGTCCCTCATTGTTGCATCAATGTGTCGATCGATGTTCTTTCAAGACAAAAAATTGAAATTTTTAAATAATAGTATTCTTGATTACCACGACTAGTGCATCATTATTTCTTCCTTGCACATGTTCATTACTGAATTCAGAAGATTATGAATCCAATCTTTTTATAAACCTACTATCACTATCGAGTCATGTTTAGTCGACGAGGGACTTTGTTCCCACTTTCCCCTCCATTGAAATACATAGTTATAACAGTTCCCCAAGCAATAATCTATCCGTTTAAAGAATTGTATTCTTGATTAACTGTTAAATAATATGCCATTAGTTCTTCCCTGCACATGTAATAGAAAAGCACTTGGAAGGTTGGCAGCAACCACTTGTATCTCTCTATAATAAAAAGGAAATGGTAATAGTTGACTTGGAAATATGCCTATCTACAAAGTCAAAGTACATGGAGGAAATTTCTGAGAAGCTTTCTGAAGTCAATTCCCAATTTTACTGCATTAATTCAAGAAGAATATACAAAAGACAACTCATTCTTTGTTTCTCACTCCAAAAAGTCTATGTCAATGCATCAAGCAACTTTTCTTTATCACCACCACAGATCAACAATTATCTTATTCTCAATTTTGAAGAAGCATATCGTCTAAAGAATTTTAATTTAGAGAAAAAAAATTTACTCAAAGTGTCTTTAACACTCCTTTGATATGTGCACAATTTTCATAAAGAGATGACTGCGAGATATGAACACATGTCTTCTGTTTCTCTAATGCCTTTATCTAAAAGCTTTAAATTATTAGGGATGAGACATATTTGAAGCTGTCTTCAGAAGACTCATTATCCAACCTTCCACTTGCCCATGAAAGACCAGGACAATGATTATTTTAAGCCCACAATATTGAGATCTTGAATCAGTCCACTGCTGCCTTGGTTGTGTACATATATATATATATATATATATAAGTTAACGCACATAGGTGGAAGAGTGGGGACAAGGGAAAAAAATGGAATACAAACATTTCAGCCATGAGCATAATTTGAATCTCTACAGGGTTCAGGCAGGGCAACAATTTCGATGCCATGGATGTCAAATGATGTGCAACGATTCGATATATGCTTGTTGGAGATGCAACTTCTTTCTCCACGAGCACTGTGGGAATGCAAATCGCTACGTTAAACATCCGTCCCACCAGTTGCACCCTCTTGCCCTCGTCCCAAACCCAACCTACTGCAGTGGCTCATTTTTGTGCACCGGATGTGGTGCACCCGGAAATTCCTTCTCCTATTGTTGTCCTCCATGTGAAGTCGATCTTCATGTCCATTGTACGTATTTACCACCAAATGTAAACCACAAAGCCCATCAGCACGAGCTTATAATCAATTTTACCACGGGAGAGCAAGCAGGAAATCTTGATCAGCATTGCAAAATTTGCACAAAACAGTTGAATTCTAAGAACTGGTCCTATATTTGTTCTAGAGGGGAGTGTGATTTCAAGGTGCATACCTATTGTGCCACTTCTGAGGTGAAACCAGGACTTTACCAGGATGATGAACCGGATACTCAAATCCCAGCACAAAATCCAAATTCCTCCACGGGAGCGGGTGGGAATCAGCCACAGAAGACCGGGTTGACTCCGGAAGAGGCTCTTGCTGAAGTGATGCAGATGCAGTTACAGATGCAAATGGCTCAGGAATTTGCACAGATGATGGCTTCATTCAATCTTAGTCATTTGGCACCTTGACATGGTCCAACATTTCATGTTCTGATCCCTGTACTTTTATGTTTCTCCTTAAAGAAGAATTAAGGAGACAATTCAGATTTTGGGTAAACTGTTTTGGCTGCTTCGTTTTGCAGCCTTATCGGCTGAAGATTTTGATTTCAACTCATAAGTATTTATATTTGAGCTTCTGCATTTCTACTCGATTTTTCTTGAAATTGTTTTTTTGTATTTCTACAGAAAGTTTTATTTTATTAAATTTTTATTATTTAAAGCTGAGAGAACCCTTGATCATTTTAATGTCAATTTGATGTAAATTCTACTAATCTCGTGTAGATTGCTTAAGTATTGACAACCAGATACGTTTTACAACGTTTAGACATGGGATTCCATATAACATATCAAGGTGATTTACTAGAGCAGTCTTAAACATTAATGTCATGGATACACGTGACATATCTGATAATCTGAACTACTGCTGATGCATAAATATACTAAACAAATGACACTTCCTTAATCCTATTCAGAACGTAGGTAGAAGAAAAATTCTATTTAGAATTATAAATATAACACCAAAAAATAACAAAATCTGAGCCATATTCCATTTATCTGGAAGTATATGTCTGTTCCTTTCTACTTGCCATTCTTTAGATTCGGGACACCTGACAATAGACTACACTTCCTCACGACAAGATAACAAAATGAAGCTTAGGCATGATCAGTTTCAACAGTCAAATCCTTCACTCCAAGATCATGGTACAAACCATGGACGTATTGGAGTATCGGGTGATCATCCATTCCCTTCTTCACCTGCACACGTTATCCAAAGGGTGCATGGCAATATTAGACCATACTTTCCTGTCATTGGTATTGTCGGAGGCCATTTACACAAATAGATCAATCATGTACCTGTAATGAAATGGATCCAATGACGTGACCTGGCACCAACTCCCAGAAACGAGCTTGAGAAACTTCTGAAATGTCTTCACGGGAATTAACCTATGCATAAGATAAGGACACTTTTAAGTCGCTATGTGGAATCACACAGAACATCTAGTATTTGCTGACCAACTTAGAACAACTCCACAACACCTTCCATGACAATCCCAACTATTTAATACAGGCGAAAGAAACTTTTATTGAAAGTGCATCTTTGCATTAGTTATTTTTCTCATTCTTGACCGATTTTGTCTATTTGTCATTTTCCCGATATAGAAATATTTTTGCTAAATCACAAGTTATCCTAAATTTTGTTAATTTAGTTGTATCAAATATTAGTTTGTCACATGTAAATTTTGTTATTTACTTCATCTGTTGACGAAATGCAAGAATCTGACCTGTCTCCAACATTTGCTCAAGGCTGAAGAAGAGATGCTTGGTGGTGCCATCTGGAGCAAGATGCCACCAGTGGTTTTAAAGAGCGGCATGACAAGCATAAAAACTGTGACTGAAACTAGACCCAAACACAAGACTTCGGCATTTTTAACCCTACAGGAAAGAAAATTGTTATGACTGTCACGATTTCATTGGGTGTAAACTTTATCTGGAATTATATCTTCAATGAGTGGCAGCAAATTACCCGAGGCTCAGCAACCAGGACGCTAGGATTAAACCTGCACTGAGAAACAAATGATATACGACTTAAGATTTATGAACACAAATATAATATGTATATTATAAGGAAGAGTTCACTAGCCACTGAACTTACAGGGAATTGTCAATTGAGTTACTAAAAACATTTTTTTTTGTGATTTCAAATTTCAAACAAGCAACCCAACTTCCAAGTAGGTTGCTACATCATTGTGCCATTACAGGTTACTAACAGGAATGGACAGAGTGACAAATGTTGAAACACATATGAAGATCAGTGACTAGTTTGATACCAGTAAAAAAAGTGACCTACTTGAAATTTCGCTACAAGTCCTTCTAATGAATTTTACCACTTTATATATATACTCCACAGGACATACATTCATTCATAAATGATGCATCTCATACCTGCGAATAGAATCAGCAAGAACATGTAGGCAAACTGAGTGGTAGTTCATATCTTCAGCTTTCCTGTAAACTGCAAAGAAAAAAAATGGCATAAACATCTCCTGAAAAGATAAGGACACAAAAAGTAGAGGAACAGAACTACACACACAGAGAGAAGCTGCCTACAAATTAAGGCGTCAAAGTCCAGAACCAGTGATGAATTTCATCAAGACAAATGTTGTCAACAAACAAGAAAGGACATATAAGTTGGTTCCATTTCAAAATCGTCAAACCTACTGAGATCCATCCAACAAGAAGTTTTTATTTCACTAGATATCCAAAGTCCATGTTATTAAATTATGAGTAGAAAAAATGATTAAAAAAAGTATACTCAGGTCAAATCAGATGTGAAGCAATTAGTGATATGAAGAAAGGCAAAACCCATAAAGTATAACCAAGATGCAGGAGCTATGTTTAGGACTATATTATATGATACAGGACCATGCCTGAAAGTGTGAGAGAGGGGATGTAATGCCCAAAAGAATCATCATGTTCACATCAAATTTGTTATTACACGCAACAAAGCATAGTGTGGGAAAGGGGTTAACCAGTCTTAATACATGAGCAACAGCCATTACAGTTAACTCGATTCTTGACTCATTTATACCACTGCATTTAAATCTGCTAATTTAAGAACAAAAAGAAATCACAAAAGTTGGAAATAGTCACTCATACAAGTACAAAGAAACTGGTGGCACAAACAAATCTGAGTTGAAGTCCCAGAATACTGTTAATGGAGACAAACTGACTTATAAGATGAACATGGCATTCTTCATTCATTGTATTTGTAGTCAAGACAATGAAATGGACTTTCAACCCCCAGATTATAACACAAAACGCACATCAATTATCAAAGGCCGCTGGCTTGACTTGTGTAGGTGATCCAAGTTAAGGATTTCTTGCAGACCATGTCTAAATTAAATCAGTGATCCAAATGTGGTACTATCCTACAGACAGGTACCTAAATGAAAGTCAGAGGATTCACAAACTGATGATTTATCAACTTAATGAAACATAAGCATTCAAAGAAAAGAAGGTTGGTAAAGACAAGTCTAAAAATGACCAAGAGACTTACCCAGATTAATTCGAGCATAGCTTCTGAAGAACCAAACACCAATGAGATTTACCATTAAATTTGTGATAGCTGAGACGATCAGGTAATGCCTAAATTGGGTAAGAATAAGATCAATGATCAGTTTAACTCCTTTTACAAACCTAAGAGCAAACCGTAGACAAATAAAATATAATACACTAAAATTCCTGCTCCAGCTTCCTGTCAAATTAACTTATGTAGGCAGAATGGTCAATCTCATTTCTTTGTTTTGTTACAAACACGAAAAAAACACAAGGTAAAACGTGGTCATATTGTTAAAACAGAGGAAAAATTGAAAATTATCCCAAATTTATCTGACTAACCACTATTTTGAAGTCCTAGAATTTTCTGCATGTTTGAAACCCAATAAATTCAAACCCTGGAATAACTGACCAAAGAAAAAAAGTGTCCCAGGCAAGAAAACATAGATTTTTTATCTGATGATGGCTTTTTATCTTTCTTTTCATTTTGAAGAGTTGCTTTCTTTTTCTGTTTTAGCAAGAAGAATACAGGCTTTTGGCAGGAACATGAGAGAGAAGGAGAGAAACGAGCTGCGGATATGGGATAAGGCTTTATTTAGTTGAATTATTTTCATCAACCATCAAACTCATAAGTCCTTATTGTTTAATGCCTACATATGGACAGCTGTTGTTGCATAGTTCCATGGATTTTCCTTCCTTCTCTTTAGCCGCATTTTACTCAAAGGGTTGAAGGGATATAGTTCATCAGGGTGTTCGCAAGGGTTAACTTGATCCTCTTCCCTAGGGATCTCAGATGATTCTGACTGAATGATAAGTTGCATAAGAGCCTACCAAATCAAACCTAACATTACAAGGTCATTTGATTTGAGAATGTGCTATACAGCAAAAATTGTTAAGAGAACTGCATAACATGAGAATACCAACTTACTTGTGCTCAGACTCATCTTGTATGAATGCATGAAGTGCTTCCACAGCTATGGAGAATGACATGAACAAAAGAAACAACTGTCTACACAAGTAGCACACGCAAAAATATTGCTGTGTTAGCCGAAGATGCATTTGAGAGAAATAAAGGGTCGGGAGCAAGAAAGAGGGAGAGTATAAAATTCAGAATATCATTTATTTTGTGTATAAAATATATATAAAACCCTCGAGAAGGAGAAAATAGATTCTGAACTTTTTCTGACTAGTAATTTCGTTATTGCTTTTATTAAGGCCCCTCCATCACCAAGGGGGAAATCAAAGGATTTAATAATCAATAACTGGGCATAAATGTCAAGTACTTACAGCATTGGTAAATGCAGACAAAACCTCCAGCCTTTTGTACCTGGTGGAGAATACAGAAATTGAGCATGCGTTATCACCAAATTATTCAGCTTTAAATAATTATTAATTCAATTTTTTACCCTCATAATTGAAGGAAAGCAACTGAACATCGCCTCAATATATAGTTACAAGGAAAATGAAGTATTAACCATAACAAGTAAATAAGATAATCACGCATATTATTATGAAAAGACACTACTAACCACAAGAATCACCCAATGGATTCATAGAGAAAGGCAGTGATTAGATGTTACAAGACCAATAATAATTAATTGGGAAGCTTAAACCCTAAAAATGAATTCTATTGTCTAGTAAGTTATACATATCTTTTTTAAGAATCTCACCCATAGGTGTATATAGAATCAGGCTGTTGTCGAGAAGCAGCCATTGCAAACAACGAAAAAGTCAAGAGCCCACAGCCAAATGTCAAATGAAATGCATCAGACACCAGACCTGAAACCAAAGATTATTCGTTCGTAGAAGACATAAATGAAAGAATAAATCAATAGAAATATGATCCCTATAAAATCACGGTGAAATTGCTTGATTTGACAATCTAAATAGTAACAAAAGATTAAAATTTTTGGAGAGAAACATACCCAACCTATACCATTTAATTTAATTTAATTTTATTATTATTATTATTTTTTCACTCAACCGGTATGGATAAGTTGTAGATTTGATAACATATACTCTTAACCAATTCATGAAATTGTTTTATGCCTACTAATACTAAAATCAAATAACAATTAAATAAATGTAATTATGTAAATTTACATACCCACTCGGCCAGTGAAGAGGCCAATGCACAACTCAACCGTAGAATACGCGACATTGAGTGAAATCAAGACAAAAAGTCTTCTCATTTGCTTGTTTCCCGACCTCAAACCTCCAAAAATTAACGAAATGAAGGAGAACTTTTCATCCAAATCCTTCGACGACAGTTTATCCTCAGCAGAGTTGTGCAAAAAATAACCGTTTGACGGATTTATCGATATTGGAGTATGAGGCTCAGCAGTGGAGGTTGACTGACGGAATGAGGCTTGCCGGGAGTATGCGAATCGCCGATCAGTACTCTCTCCGAAGTCATAATCGCCGGCGAATGATTCCGGCCTTTGATTATTAAACGATGCCTTTTGCTTCTTTACGTAAGAAAATCTCGATTGATCCTCCATTGAACTGGTACTGAAACCGGATTTTTTTTCAAATCTGATAAAGAAATAGAAATTCAGGTCCTTCTAATTATAATTTCACGACGATTGACGAATTCTTAAAATTCCAAATGAATACAGTTTATCCTCAGCAGAGTTGTGCAAAAAATAACCGTTTGACGGATTTATCGATATTGGAGTATGAGGCTCAGCAGTGGAGGTTGACTGACGGAATGAGGCTTGCCGGGAGTATGCGAATCGCCGATCAGTACTCTCTCCGAAGTCATAATCGCCGGCGAATGATTCCGGCCTTTGATTATTAAACGATGCCTTTTGCTTCTTTACGTAAGAAAATCTCGATTGATCCTCCATTGAACTGGTACTGAAACCGGATTTTTTTTCAAATCTGATAAAGAAATAGAAATTCAGGTCCTTCTAATTATAATTTCACGACGATTGACGAATTCTTAAAATTCCAAATGAATTTTGACTGCGTGTGTGCGTGTAGATGGGGTTCGACAAAAAGTCATGAAAAATAATTATATGCCTTTTGGAGTTAATTGTTTCCTCACTCACTGAACTTTATAAAGCGTCACATTTCACTCATCGGACTTTAGTTTGCACATCATCACTCACCCAACTTTGTAACTTTGCACTCTATCACTCATCGGACTAACTCCGTCCATAGCATTCGCCTGCGTGGAAGACGGCTTCGACACTTGGCAATTAAATTACTCCAACTCAACATACTGGTGTCATGTCATTAATCCCCAAATCCCACCCCCCAAACAGGCCTCACTCTTTGGAGAAAGCAAAATCGCGTGATTTAGAACACTAAGCTCTTAAAAATGCAGAAGTTGAAGCTTGGCAGGTTAATTGCATGACACGCCATGAACTATAACCTGAAACTGACCCTACATCATCATCGAAGGCCCCACCTCGACCATGAATATTGGTGTTTTCAACACTCGCACATGGAGGGTCCACGCGGAGGTAAAGCACATCATTTTTTTTGCTTCTTCGAAAATGTTGGTGGTCTATTCCTTTTATGTTTCTGTAGTTCTTCTATATTGTTGTGCTACTACTTTTCATCCCAAAAAACAATTCCGTCTCTTGGTGTGTGAGGTACTATTTTCGAACCTAATAACCAGTTTTGGCTTTTACCGTTGTATTTTGCTCTATTTTTGAACCCAATAACCTAATCATTTGCTTTGATTCTCGTGTGGAGAACGTTAGTGTACTTATGCGATATTTTTATATTTTTTTGTGTTGTTTACCAAATTTTTGTTTAGGATCCAGTAGGCTGTTTATGATCAATTTGGCGTAATTACCCACACTATTTCTTCTCCAACGTGTTATGTTGACCTTTTCCAATTTTTTGTTTTCGTGACTAATATGGAGGATGACCCTGACTTCAATGATTGTGATAACAACTTATTAACAGGTGAAGATGATAGGCTATTCAACGATAATGTGACGGAGGAAATTGAGGTCAATTGCGATGTAGGGAGAAGTAATGGGAAGAAGATGGTGTAGTGGTACAAACGAATACGAGTATGTGGACGATTTGGAATTTCCATGTCGGAAGAACTGTTGTCGGACCTCTCATCTGATGATGAGGTTGGGTGTTAATTTTCAGATTTTATGACTGAAATGAATATGCGGGATCCACAATTTCATGTTGGTTAGTTGTTCAATTCTATGTAAGAATTTAGGAAGGCGATTCGAACTTACGGTGCAGTAAATGGATATAATGTGAAGTGTACAGTGAATGACGAAAATAAAGTTCAAGGCATTTGTAAATCAGAATGCGAATGGAGAATATGGGCTTCTAAGATGAATAAGTCAGATACAGTCCAAGTGAAGGCATATACGCCTCAGCACACATGTAGTACGGATCAATAAAATTGTCATTGTAACTATATTTTCTTAGTCCATCGATATATTAAGCAGTTCAAGGTAGATCCGGAGTGGAAAATGAGAAGAATGCAAGCAACTGTAAAGGAAGACTTGAAGGTAAATATTACTCGAAATGTAGCTTGAAAAGCGAGAGGATATGCAAAACAATTTATTAATGGGGGTATCGAAGAACAATTTGTATTATTAAGGTCGTACGCGACAGAGGTGTTGAGGACCAATCCAGGATCCATAGTCATGATAGCACTTAATGGATTGGGTTTTCAAGGTATATATATGTTTTAGTGCTTGCAAATTAGGGTTTCGATATGGGTGTCGAAAATTGATTGGAGTAGATAGGAGCTATCTTCGAGGTGGTGTAATGCTCACTGCAGTTGGCCTAGATACAAATGACTACATTTATCCACTTGCTTATGATGTTGTCCAGAAGGAGAACATGATTACATGGAGATGGCTTTTGAAATATCTGGCAGAGGATATTCAAATGGGAAATGGGCATGATTGGATCGTGATGAGCAATAGGCAAAAGGCTTGAGTAAAGAATTTAAGGGGTAAGACTTTGAACGACTTCCTTTGGCGGGCTGCTAGGTCAACTACAGATGCCTGACTTCAGGCAATGTATGCAACAAATTCGTTAGCTTAGTAAAGCCACTACAAATGGTTGATGGAGAGGTATCCATCGGAGTGGAGTAAATCACATTTTAGGACACATTCGAAAAGCGATATTCTGTTGAACAACTTATGCAAAGTTTTCCATAAGATGTTGATTGATGACAGGGAGAAGTTGATTGTGGCTATGCTAAAGGATATGCAGTTGGAATTTATGACTAGAATTGAAAAGCGTCGAAGTAAGATGAGGATGTATGAGAGGGTTACTATGTCCTAGAATTGAAAAAATGCTCATTGCACTTTTTAGGAGGTCCTAGATGGCAAGTGGACTGTAGGTCAGATTCTTATGTCGTTGACTTGGAAGAAAGGAGTTGTGCATGTAAGTTGTGGGACTTGACATGAATACTGTATAGCCATGCACTGGCCGTTATACTGGAGTGTAGAAATGATCCTGAGGAGTATGTTGACCAATACTATACGATGAATACATATTTGAGATGCTACGATAAAATTTTGAATCCAATTATTGGAATACAATTGTAGCCCCAGCTGGACACTCTTTCAATCATGCCATCGTCATGGACGTTTCCACAAAGGGGAAGAAAGCAGAAGAAAAGGAGGAGGCAAGCTGATGAAGATGTTATTGCAAACTCCCAGGGGAAATTGCTTGTCACAAGAAAAGGAAGAGTATCGATGACATAATCAATATGTAACTTAAAGGGTCACTACGAAAGATACCATTCTAGACCTGATGCACCTATCGACATAAGTACTTAATTGAATGTTTATTGTTAATTTCAATTTAGATGATAGTTGATCGCTTATTTTTTTCCCATCTCCAGAATTGTTATGATGGACATTTGGAGCCAGTTGATATGGGCAGACACACATCGGAGGAAGTAAGAAGATATGTAAGTACTTCTAATGGATATTGTTTATCATTTGCTATTGAATGATGTGCTAGTTCAATGTTGTTGTTTAGATTGCCGAAGTTTTGCCCTATTGTTTTCATTGATAGGGGAAACTGGTTCCCAACCGAGGGAATGGATCTAGTTCAAGCAACGCACATGATGAAGTTCACAATTTTCACTTCATGCCCACTCACAGGATTGAGATCCAACGCCAAACTATTGCTATCACAGATGGACCAACTCCCTATGTCCCTAACAGTGGAGCTATTAAAGATATGGAATACAGAAATATTATCTAGAATAATCTTTTATTATATTTTTACAATTATGTAGGATTATTTTCCTTATTAGTTGATTATGTAATATTTCCTTTTAGAGTTATTTGTAACCCGATTAATAGGGTCTTCTACTTCGTAATATAGACAACAAGAGATTATTATTCAATTCATTTTAACATGGTATTAAAGTAGGTTTAATTACATTTTAAGTTAGACTTACAAGCTTTTGCTCTCCAACGAGCAGCTTCATGTCGCTTGTCTGGTCAAATTCTGGTAAGTTAATTTGGATGTTGATTGAGTAACCACAGATTTGGAAGAGGAAGAAAGCTGGTAAGAGCTTGTTATTGATTATTGCATGGAGATAAACAATAATATGCTCTTCCATGGGATTATTACAGTTTTCCAATCAATATTATTATAGTTTTCCAGTCAATCACTTCTTCTTACTAACTGGAATAAATCTGCCTCAATTCTGCTTGTGTTTTATGTGAGAATTGGAAGCTCATTCGTTCATAATTTAGGTTCTTCGAAAAACCCTTTTTGCCTGGGTTGTTAGCATCTTCTGGCGATTGTTTTGATTTTGGGTGTATGTCGGTGACTCCTATTTGAAGTAGTTGGCATCTTCTGGTGAATACCTTGGGTGGTGTCGACAATTACCTGTAAATCACAATTTCTTGGTGAACCTGTGTTGACATGTTCTTGTCACTTATTTGTGTGTTAAGTTGGGTGATTCTACCAGCAGTTTCTTGGTAAAAGGGTTAATTTTTTGACCGACATTGTTTCCCAATCTGTCGTTCATTTGTGAATGGCGTGAAATAACCTGGTGGACGACATTGCAAGCAATGACAAAGTTTTTGGGAATTTCTTTTGTAGGTGACGGATTTGCAGAGGTGACAACTAGCGAATCTTTTCTTCATGGTTTTTCTTTTCTTCAGAGTTTAAAGGCATCATGATCTGCCAGTTTTCTCTTTTAGGCTGCTAATTATATTGTTGATTGGGTTGTTTTGTTAATTTAGGCTGTTTGGACTGCTGTTGCATAGTGTTAATTGGGCTACTATTTTAAGGCTAAAGTTTGGGCCGTTGAAATTAAAATATTTATACTGCTGATTGGGCTGGCATTTATTCTTTTAGGCTATTGTTTGGGCTACTATTTGGGCTGCTTTATATAGTTTGTTAGCCTCTATATTTATGATTTAGAGTTTTAGGCTGATATTTAGTTTTTGTTTGGGTCATGTATATGGGCTGGTTAGTTTAGGGAGAAAATCTCCCCAATGGTCACTAAACTTTGTAGAAAATCCCCTAGGAGGTCGTCGAACTTTAATATGTTCCTAAATAGTCACTGAACTTTGTCAAAATTCCCCAAGAGGTCATCAAACTTCAAAACGTCTCTCAATGGTTAGTGAACTTTGCCGAAAT